TATTGAGTTTAATGAGTCAGTAATGATGATGATTTTGTTTTGGTTTGATGTTTCAGCTTGGTGGTATGCTTTGAGAATGGCTAGTAGCTCTGCTGTGTTTGTATGTGTATAATTTGCATATTGGTATTTCTTTGTGCTTTGTGTGGGCTGTGTTGTATGGATACCCAGCCCTGTTTTTTTGTTATTTCTGTTATATGATGCATCTGTATAGATGTGTGTATGTTCCGGCCAGTTGTCATGGATGTAGTTTAGTGATATTGTTCCTTTTTCTAGGTTTGTGAGTTTGTTATGCTTGCTGAGTGTTTTGGTTAGAGATGTGTCTGTTTCGGGGGGAGGGGGGGAGGTCGAGGATGTATGAGTTGTTGGGAGGCGAGTGAGTTATATGTTGTAGGTTATAGGTTTTGATGAGGTTTTGCAGGTGTGTGATGAAGGGGGCTATGTTAGTGTTGTTTTTGAATTTTTTTATGGTAGCTGGTCTTGAGTTTTTGTATTTTTGTATTTTTGGAGTATTTCTTTGTAAATGGGGTTTTGTTAAGCCCGAGCCCAGTAACTGAGTATAGATTGATGGCGTTTAAGTTGAATTGATGTAGTGCCTGTGATGATTTGTAGGGTGTTAAGGGAGGTGCCATTTCTGGTCCCCAGGGCTATCTTAAGGGCTTTATACTGTACTGAGTTTAGCTTTTTTTCCAGATTAACTGTTAGAGAGTGGAAGACCGGGGGCGGAATAGTCTATTTTAGCTTGGATAAGGGTTTAGTATATATTTATGAGTGTTTGTTTGTCAGCTCCCCAGTGAGAGCCGCTGATGGCTCTCATTAGGTTGATGTCTTTTTGGCAGGAGTTGACCACGTTATTGATGTGGGGAGCCCATGTAAGGTGTTGATCAAATGTGACTCCTAGGAATTTTGCTTCTTTTTGAAATTTAATATTCTCTTTGTAAAGTGAAAGTTTGGGTGTTAAATTTGGCATGAAGGTTTTTTTGAAAACAATGCCGATGGTTTTTTTGGTATTAATTTTGAACCCCAATTGGGAAGCCCAGTGCTCTAGTTTCGAGAGGATTGGTTTAATTCTTTTTTCGATTTGTTTTATGGATGTTAATGACGTCCAGAATGAAATATCGTCAGCGAATTTTGTTGTAGTAATATTTTTGGGGGTAGATGGGAATATGTCATCAATCATTCATAAGTGAAATAGTGTGGTGGACATGATGCTTCCCTGGGGGGTGCCGTTTTTGAGAATGTGTGGGTCTGATAGGGTGTTGTTTGACTTTACTGTTATGTTTCTCTTATTTAAGAAAGAGTGAATGAAATTTAAAATTCTTCTATCAATGGCTTTATCTAGTAGTTTTTGAATTAGGCCTTGTTGCCAAACCATATCAAATGCTTTAGAAAAGTCAATAAAAATGGCCACAGTGTATTGTTTTTGTGCTTGAGCTGTCTTAACATCATGTTCTAAATTTAAAATATGGTCTAGGGTCTGTCTGTTTGCTGTAAAGCCGCTCTGGTCCTCTTTAATAAGGCTATTGTTTTGGATTTTGTGCTTTAGTCTGTTGTTAATTATTGATTCCATAATTTTACATAGATGGGATGTGAGTGAGATGGGGCGATAAGCATCTGGGTCATTTGGGGATTTCCCTGGTTTCAGAATTGGCACCACTAATGCATTTTTCAAAGTTTTGGGGAGGTAACCAGCTGTCCAAACTTGATTATATAGTTGAAGTATTAATTTTTGAATTTTGATGGGGACATGATTAAGGATTTTGTAGCTTATATTGTCTAATCCAGTGGCTGGGGCTGAGTTTTTGTTTTTTAGTGCAGTTTGAAGTTGCGTAATCTGACAGCACCATGTTACAGTTTCAGCTTGACATTGAGTACTTTAAACTTTAAAGTGAAAAATACATTCACAACAAGTGAGCTGTGTCTGCCAATCAGAGTCGGTGAGTAAATTGGAGTAGGGGACTAATTTCGAAGGTAAACTTGTTTCAACGTTTAACAACTACATGTATTTGTGTTTGTATGAGACGATGTGTGTTTAATTCCATATATTTTACTTCAAAGCATGTTATCACAATAAATTGAGTCAGGTATAGGATAAGTTGGAGTAGAGGCTAATTTCTAATGTAAACTTGTTTTAACATTTCACAATTATTGGTCTTTGCAAGTTATCAATCCAAGTTTAATTTCATTTATGTTACCAAGGTAAAAAAAAAAATAAGGTGTCATTTTCGTCAAGTAATAATCGCCGTTTTCGCTTTCGGCGAGTATTTCGCCAGTCAGTGCCGTTTTGCTAAGGTGTCGTTTCAGCTATAACCCGCTTATTGCACATTATAAGTTTCAATTTATATATATAATCATTTTAACCACTGTAATAAGTAAAAAATGAAATAAAAGCATATAGAAAATAAACAAGCACTTGTTATGAAATGTGCATCCGCAGGCAATATTTATAAGATAATCCTGCATGTAGCTGTGGCCATCACACTGAAGATGCACTTCACTTCTTTCTCATATGCCCAAATTACAATGATTTAAGACAGAATATGTACTATTACGTAAGGGATATGATCTAAATTCAATTCTATTAGGTAGGTAATCCTGAAAGGACGTCAAAAATAAACTTAGAAATTCTTAAATCAGTACAAGACTACATTCAGCTATCCAATAGGTTTTGTGATTTTACATAGCATCTTAAATTTATAATACTATTCCTTGCTGTATATTGCAGTACACTATTACTACTAAAAATGCGACCTGACAGCGCCGACAACGTAGTTTCTATAATAAGAACATGTATGTAATTGTATTCCTTGACTGTACTTTTGTAATATCATATTGTATTCTAATTCTGGAGCGGTATTCAAATAAGTTTTTGCTTTTTTACCCATCCAGTTCACAAGTTGTGAAATAAATATGTTTAAAACAATATTTAGTAAACAAATAATTAAAACTTATGCAACAACATAGCGTGTGGAGACGATAGACCACTGAAAAGAGCATATATATGCACATCCAATGACCCCTGACATCACAAGGCATTGTTTTGCCAGTGTGTTAGGCAACAGAATACTACGAATTACATCACAGGGTACTGTGACCTGTTTGAAAAGTTAGGTACTGTATTCTAAAGGTAGGCCCAACATTCTAGACAATCCAGTGATTGATATTGTGAACATCAATCCACACTGTTAGGTGGTCACTGTCAGATGCCATGAACCAGGTCACCGAGCCTGATCACCCGATCTATTAGGTTATCTCTTATGGGTGAGGCTAAAACGGCACCTCAGCAAAATGTCACTGATTTCTCGGACAAAAACAGCACCTTGTTTTGGCAAAAAGGGCTACTAATTGTTGTCTGTTATCTGGAAAGACATGTTGATTCCTGGCCGAAAGATATATCAATGAAATTTCTATAAAATTACTACTTATTTCCTACTTACTAAAATAAATATGACATATATAGTATACCTGTTGTCCAGTTTCTTGACATTTTCGCCAGACTCAGTTTCAGCTTGACATTGAGCTAATCTGAGTAAAGCTACTGAAAACTTCAAAGCATGTGATCTTTCAATGATAAGTTTAGTTGCACCCCCCAATCAGAATCATGAGTAAATTTGAGCAGAGGCTAATTTCTAATGTAAACTATTTTTAGGTGATTAACATTTAACAATTATTTGTGTTTGCAAGTTTAATTGCATTTAATTTACTTCAAAGAAATCAAAGCATATTATATTTTCACAATAAGTTTAGTTGCATCTCCAAATCAGAGTCGGCGAGTAGATGCTAGTTTTTAATGTAAACCTTTTTGAACATTTCTCAGTTATTTGTGTTTATAAGTGACCATGCAAGTTTAATTTCATGTATTCGGGCATATTCAGACCCAAGGTAAAAAAAATAACAAGGTGCTGTTTTCACCAGGCAATAGTAGGCGAGGTGCTATTTCCCTTTATAGTATTACCCTCTCTTACAACTAGCATAGGTTGATGGGGACCAATTCCAACCCGGAATACCCACATGAGTGGGTATGGTTTTACGCTGTTTTTAGCAATACCACAGCAAGGGACACCTGACATAGACTTCACACATTGTACCCATGACAAGAATCGAACCTTGGTCTTCAGCACTTCAACCACTAGGCTACCCCACCGCCAAAATTCCCAACATGATAAAGTTGTCATCACGGTATTCTTCAACAAGTTCAAGTGAAAATATCCATACCTTTCAAATGTCTTATCTTCCACTTCACAATGTTCACTGTTGCGAAACTCCTGTCATTTAATTTGTTCTTGATTCTTCACACCTGCAAAAGTAAGTTTAGTCGGTACGGTATGAACTAAAAAAATGAGTCACTTTAGAGTATCTAGATAAAGGAATATAAGTAAGCAAACATATTTCTACATCATATACATTAGCAAGGATTAACATAAGTTAGGTAGATTGCTTATCCTACAAAATTAAATCACACATTTACTTACATATATAAAACAGAACAAGTGGCTTACAGAAGATAAATAACTTTAATACGTGATCAATATTATTAACATATTCCTTACCTGAATCAGAGACCATATAACAGTCTATGTATTATGGTCTCTGTCTGAATCTGTCATGTCTTCAGCTCCCTGCAATCGAGGTTGTGAAACATTTCTGCTGTAGGAATATTACATCCGCTGGGATATCCCTTGTCACACTGCCTCGCATGGTAGGCAAACGCATATTCCATACACCACATAGATATACTTTCTAATACACACTGTCGAAATCCCCGCGGCTCCCAATATGGCCTGCATGAACTGTAATCGGCCAACCTCGACTCTTTCCGTAACTGCTGCAGAAATGACCGCTCGTCATTCGTGACCAACTCGTGTTATTCCGGGACAAGCAAGTCTACCCATAATTCCCTGTATGGCCGAGGGCGCCATTTTGGAACACAAATGTAAACAAACACTCAAACCTCGTGTAATCGATGTACACCGTGATGCTTGATTGCGATATGCTTACCTTGTGTATCGATACATTGTTCTCAATCACCTCTAACACGGAAATCCCGGTCGAAATCCACCTGAGCCATCCACAACGAGGACGTCAAGTATTTCGAAAACTCGATTGACAGCCGAAGGAAGGAAGAGCAGCTTGCGGATGCCAGGTACGTAGCTTCGAGACATAATGTTCCATGATTTCTATACAGAGATCTTATGGAATGGATTGATTTAGATATTTTCCTGATCTCCATGTTACTACTGGAACAAGGGCCTTTTAGTTTTGTTGTTTTCGGAAACCCTTTGTTATTATTATGATCAAGTGTTTGTTGTGACATGGTATTTCTATTTGGGCTTGCATAAGAGCTACAGGTGCAGGACTTTTAAGGGTCGTGTCCTTATTCTCAACATAACGCTGGGATTTGATGATGAGGGTTAGTTACCAAGGGTATAAATCTGGCAAAGTGCATGTCAAACAAAACGTGGCATTCAATTCCAATCATGTGTTGCCACCTGAAAGTGAGATATGGATTACAATGAATAATGACAGCTTATCAATCTTTAACAAATTCACACTGAAACATTGAAAGGATAAAGACAAGTTAGTTGTTTTCTGTTTCAGCATGTTCAGGGTTTGTGGGGAGGTTCACAGACATCCTCAGGGAGGATACCAAGTATTGAGTGAGTATTTTTGTTTGTGATAAATACAAACTACATGTATTCATCATGGTATATTTCAATGCAATGTGAAACATCACACTCACAAAAGTCCAGCTCTGTGATGGCAGCCTGTAAATAATTGAACATGGACCAGGCAATCTAGTGATTGTTATTATCAGCAAAGATCCATGCCCTCAGACATGTCAGAGTACGATGACAACCTAGTCTGACCACCCAATTCATTAGTTGATTAGTGTTTGCAGCGGTAGAAACTAACACTTTCAGTCCACTAGTCCTAAAATGATAGCATATAGCAAAACCTTTAAAATGTCAAAATGACTAGTGCCAATTTCTAACCCTGGTGTTTGGATGTTGTGTTTGTGTGTGTATGTATGAGTGTATTTAGGTTGGTTTGTTGTTTAACGCCGCACTCAGCAATATTCTGGCTATATGACGGCGGTCTGTAAATAATCGAGTCTGGACCAGACAACCCAGTGATTGATATCATGAGCATCGAGCCACGGAATTGAGATCAATGACATGCATCAACCAAGTCAGCGAGCCTGACCACCCGATCCCGTTAGTCGCCTTTTACGACAAGCATAATGGCCTTTTACGGCAAGCATGGGTTGCTGAAGACCTATTCTTCCCCGGAATCTTCACGGGTCGAGTGTATTTAACTTAAATCATGAATCTTATACTTGTTTCTCTGTGCTTTAACAATGTAACCCAAATTTTCTCGGGAATAATAAAGTATTCTCTTATTTATATCATTTCTGAACAAAGTGTCATATCAAGATTAGATCTCTGTCAAAACAGTGCCATGGAAAAGCCAAACAAATAGCCTAGAAATAAAAGTAAATACTGCATTGCATTAATCTGCATTTCAAGAAAATTTGGCAATAATTCATGGAATGATATTCACCTCGGTGAGGATCTCTCTGCATTGTCGAACAAGTTATTTCCTATGTAATGTATGTGTTGAATGACCCTGACTTTGTTGTCAAAATATTGTTTTGACATTTGTTAAATATGGGGATAAATGTCATCTCTGAATGTTTGATATGAATTATTTTGATTAGGGTAGTTCTAAGTCGGAATCACAACCGGGGTCTTTTCATTTGAATCAAATGTACAACATGTACAGTTTGGTAGTTTTTGTGATGTGAATGCTACTTATGTTTTTAGAATGTCCGGATGAATAAAAGAGACAGTCATCTGTGCAGCATCAATGCAAAGAAAGACCATAGAAGAGCAACAGTGAGTGGTAAATATTTTGAAATTATTCTGTTTGGTTCATATGGTTATTTTGCAAATATGTCTTCAGTTTTTTCCTTATGGCTGTGGGCACAGATGTCCTATTATCTAAGGCACTACAATTTTCTGTGCAGAGTTGCATCTGTTGGGCTTAGCAGAAACCTATAGTCATGGGTTCAAATCCTGGTTCTCCCCGATTATGTTGCTAGGTTTGTCAGCATTATACACATGCTCGTGGGATTCATCAAAGACCTGCATCACTTAGGGCTTTCTTCCCACATCAAGCTAACATGCGGTGATATATCTGGAATACTGTTCAAAGCAGTGTTAAAGCCAACTCATTTATTTAACACTGCATCCAGCAATAGTTTGGCTATATGACGAGGATTGTAAATATATATTTTTCCATGTTGATGAGTTGAAACAATCACTAAATGACATCTCTTAAAAAGATTCCCAGCATTCCAAGCCTAATTAATAGATAAGATAGTGATTGAGTAGGCTCATTGATCGCATGTAATCTTACCACAGTGATGTGGGATATTGTCCATAATAGTTATCATCGGTTTGTCTGGACCGAGTTCATAACATTAGTCACTGGTTTGTCTGGTTGAGATTTGAGATGTGATTATCTTAAATGTTTAGCATATAACAAGACTCACATATGACAACTTAAGTAATTTTGCTGCCTTCTATCTGTAAGTACATGTGGCAACAATTCTTTTTGATTGCTAAAATCTTTTTACATAATGCTGCAGAAGCTGAAGTCCTGCTTGAGATTCCTGGATGAGTACTCCAGGCTGACAGTCTGGAAGGACCAGACAAGGGAGTCCTAAACAGAGGCTGCACCCCTTCAGATATCAGAGGTGATTTGCAGACAGCGATGACGAGGGTCCTGTTATTTCAATGAAGGCCGACCGAGAAGTTGTATGCCAAATGGTACTGGGACACACTCACAAAGACTGGTCTGGCTAATGTGAGAAGACCAACCAATGCCAAGCTGGAGTGGAATTCTTCCAGGACATTCAGGAAATTCTTGTCTTGAGCCATATGGTAAACACTTGAAAGGAATGATAAATGGGACTTATTGTCTTTAAATGTGGACCCAAACACCAAATGGAAAGTTCACAATTCTACTAACACAATGCAGCAGAGATAGAGTCCAAATGGTATACCCTCATCCTGGTTCCTGTTCATCCATGGCAATATAGAAAGAAAAGGAGGATTGAGGGAAAGTAAGTTCTCTGAACTGGTGAACATAATCCGTAGGTACTGTCAAGCGAACAGTTATCACACTCTGTTATGAGTATTGAAGAATAGGATGAAATTGCATACTGCATCAGGAACCATCATGTGAACACTGTTCAATGTGCGATATACTATAGGCATATGAATAAAAGAAATTGATAATTTGATTGTTGCTTATGTTTCATTTGCCAGCTGTGTAAATGGGGATGTTTCATGATTTTGCCTCAGTTTAATAGCCACACTTATCTTATGAAACCATGCATTGCTTGGGCATTTCAAGATAAATAACACATGTTTCCTTTGCTCTGAAAACGTCTGATGACACATTGATCTGTTATGTCAAAGGTCAAAGTCACAACCAGACAAAAAGTTTGTTTGTGGTCTAACTCTTCCTTTGGGCAGGGGTCGAAGTTGGAAAATGGTCGTGTGTGATCTATATATACTACATTTTCCCCTAAATTGCCTTTTCTGCAGAAGTCTTAGTAACTCTTATACATATACTGGTTACATTTACAATGATATGTTGAATTCTACCAAAGGACTGCATATTTGGTTTATGTGCTGGATAGCTCTTTGAAATGTTTTTGAAATATTTATCACTGATATTGAAGGTCAAATTCACACTCAAAAGTGATAACTCATGAAGGGCTGAAGTGTAAGATCAAGGCAATAGTGAAGGGGTCATTCATAAAGTATTTCTGCAATTATAACTAAAATGCCTATTTCTGGAGATATTTGTGAAGTATTAAGCACATAGTTGTTATATTATTTGAATACACATATATGAGCAGTGGTTACAACTCCAGTGTCAAATTAACTCTCAATCCCTTTTAATAAAAGAATTCACAGTAACTGAGGAAGAGCTTACTGTAGTACATGTACCATAAAACTAGGGTGAGGCAAATTTCAATGAAGTTAGTATTTTGGATATAACAAGTACATGTACCGTTACAAATAGTCTTATTATCATCTCACTAGGACTAAAGGCCCAAGTGAGCACATTGTCAATGACTTTTTCTTTTTCTCAGTACAAACTGGAAGTCTGGACATGAAATTTAAGGATATCATTATACGAGAACTGATGTTTGTTCATTAAATACCATTAACATCTGAAAAAGACAATATATGAAATTGAACAATTGTCTTCTCCAAAAATGTTTTAGGAGGATATTTACCATTAAAGTAACCCAGAATATTACAACAGCTACCTGTAATGCACAGTCTAACATTTTTTACCAGAAGCAAGTCATGAAGAAAATTTGCATCCGGATAGCTTCCGGAAACCTTCCGGAAACCTTCCAGATACCTTCAGCAACCTTCAAATCTCTTGGTATTTTCAAGTTAATTTTTTTTTGTGTTTCACACTTACGTGAACAAAATGCACCCCCCAAATTTTGACATTTTTTTGGAAGGTTTCCGGAAGGTTTCCGGGGACGGATCCAAAATGGGAAGGTTTCCGGAAGGTTTCCGGAAGACGGAAACCTACACTTTTTTTGCTGGGAATTCGAAATCCGAAAATGCTTTGACTGCATGGATACTTTTTTAGTATTAAACTATAACCATCTGGGGTATTTCCAAATGACGACATCCGATGAGCTCCGCCATTCTTTTTGTCTGTTTGTTTAGGCTGAAGAAATTAATTAACATGCGCCCTTTGTCGAAATCTTTATAGATCACAGTTAACCAATCAGTGTTTATGCAAAAATGCATAAAACAAATATTGCCTCCAGCTTCCAAGTTTATTTAGCTGTCCTTGCAGACGGTAGCCCAGTCTCTGGTCACGCTCAGTTGCGTTACGTATCATCCGGGTACTCACGGGGTAAAAAACAACAACAAAGGCAACAACCAGTCCGGGGAATTGCGTTAGATCAGTGCCCCTTTAATGTTTGTTTTTGACAGTTTTTTTAATTACCTTTTAAGGCTTTAAATTTGTTCAACATTTTCCTAGTATTTATTTTGCCAGTATGTAAGGTATTACAAAAGGACTGGCAGTGTTTTTTTTGTTTTTTTTGCTGTCGTCATAAGTTGTTTAGTTTTGTTTCTAAGATTTATTAATAAGGGTAATTTGGAACGGTCTCTTGGATTTATTGAAAGCCTTTTTCTTAGTTTCCTGGCATTCATAATTTCAGTGCTCAACAGTAGAACAACAGGGCCGATGATCTCGTCGCGGTAGCACTGTCCATTGAGATTTCCCTCTACCACTATCAAACGGGTCCTCTGTCTTGCTGTAATCCCACCCCATACCATAACGCTGTCGCCCCCGAACCGATCTTCTTCCATGACACAATGATTGACGTAACATTCACCTCGACGTCGGTACACTCGAATCTGTCCATCGCTGTGCCTGAGGTGAAAACGAGCTTAGAATAGAGAATAGAACTTGTCCCCACTGCATAGCCGTCCAGCGTAGACGCTGTCTGCACCACTGTAGACGTGTTTGACGGTGGTCTCCTGTCAAAATGGGAAGTCTGGCGGGTCTTCTGGCGACAATCCCTGCGCATCTGAGGTGACGACGTACGGTTTGTGAAGATATTCGTCGAAGGCCAGGGATGCTTCTTGCAGTCACTGTTGCTGGCTGGAATCGATTTCGTAGGTATGTCGTTCGAATCCAGTTGTCTTGTCGATTATTGGTTACGCGTGACCTGCCACTCTGAGGATGGTCTCTGACTGCATTCGTCTGTTGCCAACATTGCCATTAACACCAAATGGTGTTTCTGTGTACGTTAAATTGTCTTGCAACATCACGTTGACTCGATCCTGCTTCAAGCATACCAATGGCTCGCAGACACTCATTTTCGGACAGGCGTGGCATTTTGTAATGTTGAATAATTGAGTCATTTTGTTGATTTTCTGAGAGGTTGTCAGCACGATGCTAAACAATGCATATGGAATCCCGTTAACGCACATGTTTTTATACCCATTCTTGGGTAGTGAAATGCATGGGGCTTGCATGAAAGTCAACTTTTGCATGGAATGCATGCTTTTCTGTAGCATTTTCGTTTTTGTGACTTGATTCCATACATGTACTACAATATTGAAAACCAAACTTTACTTGTTTGAAAAATACACTAAAATATTGGTGTCATATGAACTTTTGTTGTTGAGTATTATAACCAGCTTTTGCTAGTGACATGAAGACAAAACACAATTTCGGCTAGTCACAGAGAAATCAAACTGTCATAATGCAATGATTTTAAGAAGCTGTTATTCAGGAATAAGGAAGTTTATTTTGAGCGACAAAGAACTGTGTTAATATATTCAAGAAGAGATTCCAGGTTTTTTTTAAAAATACTTGAAAGAGGGAGAAGCAGTCGTACAATCACCATGAATATATCAGTTGATAATGGTGTAAAGATTTAAACAGTCTTCTGTATGTCAGTGACATTGTATTTGATTATTCAACTATGATTGCCATTAATTTGGATCTTTATTCGACAGAGCATTTTAGCAACGTAAATGATCTAAACAGACCACATACAGAAGACGAAATATATTCTTGTTTAAAAGCGTTAAAAATAAGACCCCTGGACCTGACAGTCTTCAGGGTGAATTACTGCAAGCAACAGTAACGGTATAACACCAACACCAACAAAACTGTGTTTACAGTGGGAAAACAGTATTAATTGTCCACTGCACAAGGCAGGAAATACCCAAGAGCTAAATAAATATTGAGGAATATCTCTTTTTGACTCATTTTGTAAAATATACTGTGTTGTATTAAAGATTAGACTGGAGTTGTGGTGTGATAGAAATAACACCTTATCTGAAATGGAAGCCGGTTTTATGCCAAGTTATTCAACCGCTGACCAGAT